CGTACGACTCCGCCTTCGGCCGTACGAGCAGTACTATAAATTATAATAATAGTGAAAGAAAAAAAAAAAAAACATCAATTTTATTAAATCTTACCAAATTATTTAATTTTACCTCCATTAATGTTATAACAATAAAAAAAAAAAGTTAATTCTGAGAGTGAATTTAGTATGATCAACTGAATACTTCTATAAAAAATGTACAGTTACATTCTTCTCTACTTCACAATAAGATTTTGCCTATCACTTTACAGATAAAACATATTTATATCCACTACTTATTTTTTAAATATATACTTACATTACTGACATTTAAATAATTCATCCATTCCATGTTAGCTACAATCAAAAGTCAAATATGTGATGGGCAACATGATATTTCTAATGCAGAGACCTCCTAGTCAACCTGTTCCATCCCACCTAACAATTCTAACATAATAAAGTCATCCAGTTCTGTATAGTAAGATAACTCTTTAGTATCACATCTACATAAACCAGCAAACTCTACTTTCATTATGGTAGTATATTACTAGAACCATACCTAAATATGAATCATTATGTTAGTATGAAAAACAAAAGCTAAGAGAAAAATCTGAAGCATTATTCTGAATAATAATTACATATGTGTATATATATATATATATCTTAGGTCTGTTCCTATCATTCTTCAGTGGATTTTTGTGATATGAAATGAAGCATACAAATCAATATGACAGTCGGCAACTATAATTTGAAGCACTCTAAAGTACGAGGAAGACCTGATCAGGGAAAAAAGTGTTGAGAATGTACAGTATTTTTAGATAACTTTTATTTACAGTAAATGTTATAATTCCAATAATTTTTACATTAGGAACAAAGTAATATTCATAAAATACCACACCATTTTAGTAAACAATTATAGCTAAGCTACATTCTACTGCTCAACTGCTAATTTAGATTCTATGTTTTTTACACAAACATATCTTAATTTCATGATTTGAGAACAACATACATTATGATACAGAATTGAGTACCAAATACAAGGGAGATAAAATCACCAAGATGAAGGATGTTGCTTCATCTTAGATCCAAGCCACATTGGGCTATCTGCTGTGACTACCACAGGAAAATGAACCCCAGATTTTAGTGTTGTATGTCCATAAACTTACCAATGTCCCACTCGGAGACCCAAGATGAAGGAAACAGGATGACATTAAATTTCCTTCCTTAAAAACCTATATTCAAATATATATATATACGTGAAATAAATACAATTAGACCAGCACTAGCTTGTTACATGTCACTATGAATCAAGAATACATAGACAGATTTACAGCACAAAAATACTCCTAGCAAGTTTTATTAGAACATCCTTGAGCACTTTCTACTTGTGTTAACTAAATGTAGAAAAGGACCTACGTATATTCTTATGAAACAAGCTATTTTACAAATATGTTTTTACTTTCACATTACAAAATGTCTTGAAATGTTTAAAATTGAAAAGCAAAACTCATGTTCATTTCCCCCCTGCAACATGTCATTCATATACAATGTTTAAACTATTTCAAACAAACAAGAAATATATTTAATTATACAGGCTAAGAAGTTATAAATAACATCCTCTGTATGTATGAATGTGCAATGTACACACATAAACACTTTTAAATTGAATGTGGTAATATATATATATATATATATATTTTTATATAAGGCACTAGTTATTCTATACAACAATACATACCTCACACATAATTCCATTTCTTAAGTTCTAAACTTTTTGTAAAAAGGACATAAAAAATTAACTCTTTCTAGCCTTATATGGCACTCAGGGTGCTTAATGTAATAAATATTACACATTTCAGTTAGTTTATTACTCACAGTAAGTGATAAGCTTGCCAGAAGAGTTGCTTACCACCTCACCATAAAGGAGTGATTAACTGAAACAGCTCTTACTAAGTATGATATAGTTACAAAGTACTGAGAAAAAAGTGGCTTGAATGCAAGTTAAGAAGACCATACAAAATCTTTAAAAAAATTATCATAACATGTTCAGTATTGCAAATTTCACCAGCTACACAAAATAAAATTGCTCATACTAATATTAAAGTTAGAATTTAAAATTAAATAATCACATTTGCTATCATAAATACAATTAGTGTACAATTTTGTGACCTTACTTCTAAATGTGTGATACTTGACTATTTGTACTACTTTATTTTTAAAATAAGAAATCCATAATGAAATAAAAGAATAATATCCCAAATTTGGATTTCTGACTGCAATATAAAATATCTTAATTTCATTTTAGTTTTAGTACAAAGGGATTTAAGTACTAGTATCCACTGTGTTCATTAGAAGAATAAGAATTCAAGTTTTATTTTTAAAGAGTATTTAAAAGCAGCATTAGAAGAATCATTTACAAATACAGATTTTCAGACCATACTAACTAAATTGTATATGCATTTCATTTAAAAACAAAACAAAACACTGAAACCTTTATAATGTAAAGCACTTTAATTTGTTCATCTGAATTAGATACTCTAAGAAAGCTACAAAGGTATCCACCACAAATAACAATTCTTTTAAACCCATAATTTTTTGCACTTTCTGCCAGAATTATTTTCACGATGTACTACTAATTTTCACCACATCTAAAAAAACTTCCAGTCTGTTTATAAAAGATAGATAATAATATGGTTTGAATTAGTTTTCAGCCAAAGAGACACAAGTGCTATCGAATACTGTCACTGTCAGACGGGTAAATCGGGACTTTCAGCTGGATGTTGGCAGTATCCACTCGGATTTAATAAGTTAATGCTGTCAAACATCTATATAGAAATTGTATTCAGTATATTTAAAATAGCTGAAAACTGCTAAAATAAAAGTTTATTTCACCTCAAATCTGAGTTGTGTATCAATTTGAAAAGCTACATTAGAAGAAGAATGGGAAGAAAAAAATGAACTAAACCACTAAAAACTAGTTAGCAAGTAGATTATAAACATTTTATTGAAAATTTGCAAAAATGGATAAAATAAATACACAAAATTATTAGCACTTTTCAGAAGATCTAACTGAACTTATTTTAATGTTGTATTGATTATTTTTATGTAAAGAACAAGTAACAGTGTTAATGATCAAAGTAAGGTTAGTTTTAATGATTATTATGTGGTCCCGTACTTTAATTTATGAACAACTGTAGAGGCATATGGTAACTAATCGAAGGACATTATAGGTAGGTCTCTGCTTTACAACAATTAATCCTGGCTTTAATTGAATGCCCCATCACATGACACTTAGTGTACAGTAAAATAATATGTGGTATAATATTATCAGAAAAGAACTTACAACTCAATATCACACAAATCTAATAGTTCACCTCTTTAGAACTGCAGATATTTTTACCATAATCAAATGTAAAAAAATCACAGGATAAAGTACAGGAACATAATCTTTCCTTTAAAGATGTGAATATTTTGACAATCTCATCATATACATAGCAGTACATTTTTATGAATTAAAAAAAAGTTTCATAGAAACATACTGCCACCAAAAATAGGTGCTGATCCAGATGTCTGTTAATTTCTTTTCACTCCAAATCACAGTTAATTAATTAACTTTATATTTTTGTAGTATGAAGACTGAAACTGCAGTCATATAAAACTGTGTATAAGGTTTGTACCAGATCAAAAAAGTTTCGATTTTGATTACCAATGGCCTGAAGGAGATGTACTTTTGGAACGACAAAAAAATATTAGTGAAAAAAATCTAATAATTTTTAATGACCATCTAAAAACACATAATAATAATACCAAGATCACTATACACTGATATATGTTCATAAACAGTTATATTTGGTCCCCTTGCTGCTTAAACTGCATGTTTCACAGAAAACAGTTCCATACCTAAATTTATGTTGAAGATAAGAGAATGTTTTAAATATTTTAACATGTAGCTAACAAAAGAGGTTATAGTGAAAAGAAATATAAGTAATATTAATGTCATATAAGATAAAACACCTCCACAAAACATTAATAAAATGCTTAAAACATTTGATCAATGCAAAGCAAAATCTTTTCTGTCAAAATACAATGAAATTCAAATAATTTTCCATGAGAAATACTATTTGAAATATAATTTACTTTTTAAACAGAGTAATAATAATAATAATAAGAGGTAAACAGTTTATTGCATGTTTTTTGACAATTATTTTTCAGTCTTACAAGTGGTAAACATTTCAACATTTTGATTCTAAGATAGGTTACAAAATAATATTATTATATATAACTTTTTTTTTTAAATGTTCAATTGAATAATTATTTTCATAAACTACTCTTTGCAAATCATAGAATTACAATAATTCAAGAAAATTAAAGTCAGATTTTGAACAAAGTTTCATTTGTTAAGTGGCCCTGTTTTTATTTTAGTGTTGGAATGCTCAGTCAGTCTACAGAACAATAACATTTCAGCCAGCAAATAAAATAAGAACAAAGTTAGTGAATGGGTTATTTACTAAATAAAAATTTAGATATGTATTAGAGAAATTTTTTTTGTGTTTTTATTAAAGATAATTTGTGAACAGGATAGCTGCTAACTTTATAGAAGATAAAAAGTAATTATATATCATAAAACATACAGTGTGGCATTACTTCTAATAATTTTTAATGGCCACATTTTGTTGTGGTCACATGTGAAACTATTTTGTTCCATAGAGTAAAGAACTGTTACAGCATAATAAAAGCCCAAGTAAACACTTCATAAGCTGGGAAGTTAAAAACAATATATATTTCTTACAGCAGCAATGGGAACATTAGAAAATATAAGCTTTACAATTATAACAAAAATCTAAAACTGCAAGAAAATACTGGCAACAGCATTATCTGTTTCATGATGAAAACAATTTCAATATATTGGAAAACTGGTTCTCACTGAAATTAATCTTTGAGATGACAACTTTACTTTAGGCACTGAAGACCAGCCTTATTTTTTTCCAAATTGTAAATATGTAACAATCAAATAAACACAATGAACTTCATTCTTGTTTATTGTGTAATCTTTTTACCATTTTACAAAGAAGAGGTAATGTGATGTTATAATAACAACAGAAGTTTCAATAAATAGTTTACATAAATATTTCATAACTATTGATAAACCTTGAAAAAATTTGTGCCAGACAATGGACCTAAACCATCAAGCCATGAATATTTCAGTTATACATCCGAACAGTGCCTTCCAAATTTCAAATTGTTGTACAGGACCTTGTTGCAAGTTTAGTTTACAATGCGGTACCTAAAATTTCCTTCTCATACTTCGAATGAAGCATGCTCATGCTGTTGCCAGAAGAAAGAAGGGTGCTAATTTCCCCACCAATCAGTTTCAGAGTTAAAATTTCCTCCAAAGCTGCTTCGATTAGATGTGCTGAAATACTGGTTGGCCCCATATCCATAATTAGGGGATTGGAAACTGTTGGCTCCTGTATTTCTTGCTTCTCCACTTCCACGCTGGTCACGAGTATTAAACTGTCTATAATCGCGACCACCAAAGCCACCAGACCCATACCTAAAAATCCCAAAAACTTATTATTCACCTATTTTATATCACTGCATAAAATGAAAAAGTAATTTAAGTGACATATGAAAATTATTATGAATTACTTTCGATACAAATAACTGAACTTTCATGATATAGTATATTTCACTTTCTAACTTCTGCTCAAATCATTAAGCACATTACACTAAAAAATTAAAATTACAGTACCCATAAGCAATTAGGGAAGACTTACAGATTCAAGTTGTTGTTTTTTTTAATGTGTTAAATTGTTTAAAAATTTCAAAACTTTCTAACCTGCAAAGTTCAAGTAGTTCTATGTAACAGCTTTTCACTACTGAACCCATTTTACAACTATGTAAAAAAAACAACATAAATATTTTTGATTGATAAATATAAAATGTCACAAGTATTACAATTAAACTTTTCATTTAAAACTGACCAAAGTCCATCTTCTCACTTTCCATACAAATATTACTCATTGTAATTGATTAATTTAAAACTAAGTAATCTTTTTAATTGTTTGGCTAATTTATTAGCATAGGTTGACTTTATTGATAATTTATGGACATATTAAAAAAAAAATAAATAAGTTATTTCCACTGGGTGAAGGAAGAAAAACTTATTCTATGAAGTTGAACAAGTTCTGTTTTATTCCCTGTATTTGTTTTAGGTGTGAGATACTTTTTATGATCATCTTGGTTGTCAAACACATACACACTCATATACATATGTATTTTTGGAAATTAGTATGAATTGGTATAGAAGTAATTACCTTCGAGCACCACCTCCATATCTACGAGAGTTAGAGGCTCGCTGTTCAGCCTGAACTTCTTTAGCTAAAGCAGCTAGCCAATCAGGACACTCTTGTTTTGCTTCAGTGATAAGTTCCATTAAGTCCAGTGACATGTTACGATTTTTTTCGTTAAAGAATGATGTTGCCAAGCCTGCGAGATAAAATGTTCAATTATCAATTTTAAAAATTTATTCCTTCAAAAAGAAATGAGACACACTGAACCAACAAAACTTGATTATATTCATGTTTGGAAGCTAGTGTAGACTAAAAAAATGTTAACATTTTCCTACACTTAAAATTTATTTCGGAAAGATACTTACGTCTTCTTACGAATAGCTTTTGTCAACCTATACTACACTCTATAGGCACAAATTTTGATAATCCTACCTACCCTCACGTGAAACATCTGCACGCTATCATGCAAGTGAAAATGCAGCAACCCTATGCCAATAAGGGTGCAACACAACTCCTATCGTAACAAGCACCCTCTCTTCCTTGGAGACCGTAATCACTTCAAGATTGGGCAGTAAACAGAAAATCTTCACTGGAAGTGGGAAGGTTGGGTGGGAAATGTGAGTGGGACAAGTATCTATCTGAAATATATTTTCAGTGTAAGAAAATGTTAACTTCCAATACATTCTATTACCTCTTCTCACAAATAGCTAGAATCCCACATTGAGTTGGTGGAGGGTCCAGTGAGAAGATGATCCATCTTTAGAAAGTGCCCTAAGGAAAACCATGGGTTGTGCAAATAAACAGCAGACAACATAGCTGTGGGAGATCACACCACTTCTGAGCCAGGTATATTCCTTGTCCATATGATAATGTATCACAAACAGGGTGGAATCAAAAGAGAGACCCAAGTAAAGTAAATGAAATTAAGGAACCCCTAGTGTAGAGTGACAAGGGCATGTTAGATAATAAATGGGAAATCTACCTCGACCAATACCGGATGAACCATAACAGAGATATCTGGGCCATGGTAGGAAGATGGTCCTCTACCTTTCACCTTGAAAGGTAGAGGTAGGAAAGATGAGCCTCTGTACTAAGGATCCGCATCATTACTTTTGCACATTTGACACAACCATTATCATATCTGCCAAAAACCAACATCTGGGGGATGGTAGGAAGGTGAATAGCAAAGTGGGGTTCATCTCCAGTCCAGCACCAGCCATCAGGAAGATATTGTCCAGTTCACAGTACGAGGAGAGTACTGGTCACACACATTTAAGGACTTATATGGCTGGTCCTGCTCCAATCATCACTCTATCTTCCGGGAATCAATATCTAGGGAACGGTAGGAAGGAAGGTGTTTCAGTCAGAGGGGTGAATTGCATGTTGGTAGAATGCAACGTCTATCCTCAGGCTGCATTTGGAATTGTACATCAGGTCCACAGTAGGATGAGTGTCAGTGCCATCTACACTGACAGAACACCACCACCCTACTCTCAACTGAGTGGGAGTGAGCACACTCAGGAAAAAGCCTTTATGGTTCACCACCCCAGCAGCTAGGAACTGGTAAGTGGCAAGGACTCGCATACTCCACCAGAAAAAGGGGTGAATAGCACATTGGGTGACCTCGACACCTTAATTTGAAAAGTAGAGCAATCCCACGACTTACGATACACAGATCATCATGGATGGGTAGCAATCCCCATCTGCTTTACTCATGTTAATAATGGCTGGAGACGGCTTGAATGGGTAATGAAGAAAAACTTTAATATAAGTTTAACATAACAGCAAATGTACAACGTTTCAACAAGGTTTTGTCATCATCAGGTCATCATTTTTGTCATCTTCATTACCCATTCAAGCCATCTCCAGCCATTATTAGTCTCAAAGTGGGTTCCTCGTCATCGAATTTACTCGTGTTAGTTCATGAGAGCACAGTCCGGGGCAAACTTTTTTATGAAACGAAATACTGTAAAGAATATCTACAAGTGGTCTTGCAGAATACCCCATCTCAATGGTGGGCATATTTAACACATAGGCCTTACAGTGCAGATTTAAGAATAAGTATTCCTAGTCAGGCAAAACTCACCACAAAACAGGGACTGAGATGTGAAAAATGTCCTTGTAAAGAAAATGTAGAAAAAAGGAGCACTTACCCACTCAGAGAAATCGTGGAGCTCAAAATGGTGACAGGAGGAAGACAAAAACCTGTAGAACAGGAAATGGCCATATGGTGAAGATAATGGGCAGTGGTCCACATACCAGCAAGAATAATGTCCTCTAGCAGATGATGGACATGAGCAGCCAGGAAGATGGTGTGAAGAGGCACAGAAAAGATGACAATCATCCAAGGAATGGGAAGAATATGCCAGGTGAATAAGCTAGCAACTCCAACCAGTAAGGGTAATAGGGGAAAGGTCATGGAACTGGGAAGGATTCCAAGGAATAAACAAATGGGAACAGGAACCATAAAAAAAAGCAGTGTGGAGAGCCCTGACAGAGTAGAGAAAGAGGGGAGGGTTGGAACGGTCATAAAGGTGTGATATGAAAGAAAGAGAGCAGCCAAGTTATGGGCAGGAAAGAACAATTGTGGAAAAGGACCACATAGGAACTGTGAAATAAGGTGCTGTGGATATCAATAGCAAACCCACCAATCAATGATGTCTGTACACCAACAGAAAGAGGAAAAGGGTTTTCAAGAAGAGGTGAAAGAAGGAACATGTTGACAAAAGCTCTAACGGAAAAAAGGTAAGGGCCTGAAAGATGACATTGAGGTTTCAATCCACGAGAGAGGCAGGGAGATGGGTGAGGCAAAGTGAATGAAACAAATGGGAAAGGACAGGCAAATGGAAGAGATGGGCATATCTTGTAAAACTAAACATGGCTGACAAGGCAGCAAGATAGCCTGCAGTGGAGGAGACTGAAAAGCCCCCAGTTAAAGAATCAGGTAAGCAAGGAAATGTAGAGTTGAACAAGAAGGATGATAACTACAACGTATGGACCAACAATGGTACATGTACCACTTCCACTGATACACAGCTAAGATAGAAGGATGAACAGAATGGGAATTCAAGGACTGCAAAAAGCCATGCATGAAGATGGAGTGTGGAATGGAAAGATAATACATGCCGGACTGAGGCTGACATGCATAAGGTGGGAGGAAAAAGGGAGCAGCAGAGGAGGCAACACCACCAGGCAGTGCAGAAGTGGAAATTATGACTGCACCAGCCAAAGAAGAACCACCAAAACAACATAATATGGAGTGGTCTGCATGATGGAAATGACCAAGGAAGCAGATGATTGGGAGGGTAGGCATACACATAGTGGCTCATCCAATCCTGACTGAGAACATCTACTGCTCCAGCCAGTGGATGTGGAACAGGAGACCAAAACTGTGGGAGCTTGGAATTGAGATGTGTGGCAAAGGTATCCAGATCTGGAACACCACTGGGAATTGAGCAACTGAAATACCAGTATACTGAGTATGAAGAGCAAAGGCAGCCTATGAGGAAGCTGGAAGTAGCTAGTCATCTATCTAATGGTGGAAATGAAGGCTCAGGGAATGAAGAAAATAAGCAAACTTCCTGACCAACCAACAAAAAACATAAGGAGCTTAGGTGAGCCCAGAACTGAAAACAGAACTCTGATGGATGAAACAAAGATAATGTCTGGATGCAGGGGAGATGGGAATGTGAAGGTACACAATTGAAACATCGATCTTAATGATCCATAAACCAAGAGTGAAAGCCCATCAAAGGGACAAGTTCAATTCTATGGTAAAACAAGGGTGTACGATGAAGTGGTTCAGAGCCAAAAGATTGATGACAAGGAGCTAGCCAGTCTTTTGAGGATGGGAATAAAAAGCTGTACAAGAGGAATCCCCCTGTTCGATGGCACCCTTCTGAAGAAGGCCTTGAACTGCTTCCAAAAGACATGGGAGGAAAAGGGAAACACAAAGAGAAGGAAGGAAACTGGATGATGGAAGAGGATCAAAAAGGAAGACCAGACCCTCTGAGACAACCTAAGAACCCAAGGGTCCATGGCAAAGGATCTCCACATCAGTGGCATAGCAAAGGGGGGGCAGTTGCTCCCGGGCACAAAAATTCCTCTGGCCTATAATGGCTATTAATTAATAATTATGTCCACCCCTAAAATATAGAGCAACTACCCTACGTTAAGTAAATACGACACAGTGTTAGGTTATTTGTGTGTATTATGCTTGCAGTTTTAACTTTTAAAAGCCGCCCACCGAAATACAGTGAGACTGAATTGACATACAGAAGTAAATTACACTATTCCATCATTCATCTGTAGATCAAACACAAGTCCTAGAGTACAACGTATAAGTCAGTGTATGTTTAACAAAAAGAAAATATGCGATTGATTTAACATATTAACTGGTGTGCAAGATTGGCAATATATGCAACAGACAAGATCTAGATCTAGTAAACATTATAGGCCTAATGTAGTGGTTTGTAACTGTATTGGCTGATTGCAAATCATGTCTTACACAAACTAATGTACTAGACTTTAGGTCTAATTGCCGTTATAACTTTATATCTAGACCCTAGGTCCATCATCATACAAAATGTAGCCTATATTATAGGCATACTTAGACCTGTACTAACTATTAAACTAGGCATTGCACTGTGACAGATCTAATGACTAAGTTAATAGATCTAGATGTAACACTTGTTCTAAAAGCTGGGCCTAATAAATCTAAATCTAGAATTCATGAGGCAGGGTTATATCTAGATCTGGGTAGATTCAATGCAAGGTGCTTTTAATCTATGCACCCAAATCTAAGGTCTAGTTTAGATGTATAAAGCTAAACTTCTGTCATTATTGTTACATCTAGATCCAAACCTAAGACTAAAAGGATGGAAATAACAGGTCTAACATTAATGTTAGATCTACATGTACTAGTGACTTAATCTAGGAACTGTAATCTAGCACCACTAATTAGTTAGCCTATATTTAAGTTTTCTCATCCTATCAAAACCTTTAATATTAAATATAGCCTTTGAGTCTCTAGGCTTATATTATGTTATGATTACACCCTTCTCCAGAGTGTGTGTAATTTTCATTTGAGCAATTTCAGACTTGTCTCCTGTAGTGTTCGTGTAGTTAAACCTATCGAATTTTTAGATGTGATTAAGCAACTGCCAGTAATTTATATGGTGCTATAAGCATGATTTA